TATTAAAAGTTTGGGAAAGCTTAAAGGGCCAAAACACTTAATTTTAAAGACCCTTTCTTTGCACTTGTTTTGGTTTTTCCCTTTACCTTACCTTTTTGACCCTTAAAAAGGTAAAGGGTGTGTAGGGGAGAAAATTTATGAAGGTGATTTTTTAAAATAGGTTTAATGGGTCAATGTCACACTTAAGGTTTAAAGGTTTAAAAATTTTTCGGTGTTATGGTTTGTGTCTCGAATATAAGCTCATTCACTGATGATTGGATTTTCATATAACCTGGCAAAAATGTTCACTTCCACCAGGTGTTTTGACATCACACAGATTCCTCGCTTCAAGGTCAATGTCACAATTAGAGGTCAAAGGTCACATTTTTGTAAAACATTTTGTTTACGGAGTAAACGATGATGGGATGTTCAAATAACCTAGCCAAATTTTCAATATAAATAGACGTTGTGCTGCACGCCCAGGTCCCTCTTTCTATAGCAAAGGTCTCAGAGGCCAATTATCAAATTGTGGTGCATTTTGTGTCAGGTTGGCACGGCATACTGGGCAGTAGTATGTTTCACATTGGCATGCAACTTCCCCAATGAGGTACATGCAAAGGTGTTTTTGGTTGCAAAGAAAAAGACCTCAAAGATTTCACTTTTATTTTTGAAACGTATTGTTTCATTTTTTTTTTAACTATAGAAGGAACACATAAACAAAGCATGGTTTGTTCGAAAATTATTGCCACTTAACCTATTTCTGGAAAACCAATAAAGATATAAAGATTTGTTTTGCACATTAAAGAATGTTCTTTCTGTTGAAGACTACGTATTTTTTTCTATTTCTGAAATCTTGCAGATAACCATTCGATTTTTGACCAGTATATAAACCATACCCACTACTAATATGAATTGCTGATATGCATCGTGCATTGATTTTCGCAATATTATATGGTTGTAAAGAACGAATATATATGACTAGCAAATGCAATTAGACTTTTTATAACATCTCATTCTCTTATAGCTTTCCAGAAAAAAAGTCAAGTTACAAAACTTTTCGAGCTACCCTCGTTTTATTGCACATAGGGCCTACAACTACACCTCCCTTCTTTCCAAAATAAGGACATATATCATTGTCTTCCTCTTTACTAAGATTTTGCTGATATTTACTTAATACCACTATCAACATAAAATCCAAAAAGTTGTTCAATTTTTATAAACTACATACGATGATCAAACAATGACAAACAACAACGATAACAAATTGAATTACGGTGCATAGCATAAGCTTATGTTACTACATGTAAAATAAATGTTCCTTTAAATAAGTTGTATTGTATGCAGTGTGTACGTTTAAAAAAACTACACACCCAAAGCTTAATTACATGAATATCTATAACTTGAAATGCACATTGTGAAGAAATCTAGTAGTTTACATAAATCTGAATATGTTTAGCAATAGTTAACTAAAGGCTACACTCTCATAGGTACTTTATAGGAAAGATGTTCAGACGCACTGCCACCACATTAAACAAACGCAATCTATAACAAATCGTGAAAAGTACTTAAAACGTAGAATATATTAAAATTAACAGATACAATTCAATGAACAAAAATAATCTATGTAAAAACTCGTTGTCTGCCATAATTCATTCAAAAACGCGCCAAATTATCATGTTCAACAGACAAGTCAAAAGTCACAAGTCAAAAGTCACAAGTCAAAAGTCATAAGTCAAAAGTCACAAGTCAAAAGTCACAAGTCAAAAGTCATAAGACTCAAGTAAAAAGGGCAGGTTTATGCTTCCATAATACCCGCAGGGGGCCTACAAGTACCCAGATTTAATTTAACCCCCTTAGCGTTAGGGGATTCCCTTGATAGCGGGCCCTAACAAAAAGTCCGGGGAAAGCAAAAATCGGGCACCAAAGGCAGCCCCATACCTGAGAATAAAATTTATATTTTTCCAAAATTTCCACCCGGCCGCAAAGACGTTTAAAAATTTTAATGATATTTAAATCTTGGGTTTTTGGGGGTTTTTTGGGGGTTTTTTTTAAACCAAAAAATTGACCCCAAAAGAAAATTAACCATAAAATGACAAAAAACCTAATGAAAAAAACTTGGGAAAATTTTAAATAAAGTCTAGTTTCCACCCCAAAATTAAAATATATTGAGGTTTCCAGTTCCAAAAACCAAAGGCTACGAAAACCCCTATTTTCCTTTTTATGAATAAATTTTGGGTTTAGAAACCGACTTTTCGGTTTTTGATTGCTTTCTCAATTTTTATCAAAAGCTGAAGGGATCCCAAAAAAATTTCAAAACATACTTTCAATTTTAAACATTTTTACCCCTACTTGGGAAACCCCGATGTTACTTGAGTATAAATAAAACATTTGCAAACCAAAAAAAAGAGACCAAAATTTCAAGAATAAAAAGTTTGGATGATAACACGAAAGGGGTAGATTTATTTTATTTTTGTGCTTATGCAATACTATAATTGTACTAAAAAAATTCTTTGTTTTAAAAAAAGAATCAATAATGTGCTTTGTAATTGAAATCTAGTAACTCTATACAATCTTAACAAATCTTTAAACTAATCTTACTCTTGAAAACAAAAACAAAACAAAAACAACGAAAAAACGAGTAAAGGTTTATTTTTAAAAATGTCATTTCTTCTTTCCTTTGATTTTACGATTTCAGAAATTTCAGCTGCAAATTTTAATAGTATTTCTATTGTACACGTCAATCGCCGAAATATTTACTGCTAAACAAAAGGATTTTAAATATAACTAAGCTACATGTCTTATGGCGAAATTCCTGGTGTCCCAAGCCCAGGAGATAAACAAACGGTTACCTCATATCCTAATGCTAACCTTATCAAGTTGAGCGATTTGACTAAAACTATTGATTTAAATTTGATTGTTGTTTGTGTTCGCTTTTTATGTGTTCAAAATGAAACGACAACGGCTATTGAATGTTAATGCACGTACATTTACATGAAAAACTTTACTCCTGATTTACAATACAAAATACCACCAACAGTCATAGTGCATATATAGTAATTTATACTTTCAAATTTAAAGCACTACAAAGAAAGGTATCACACAGCTTTGGAGGCTTGATCTTAACAGCTCGCTCTTGCAGAAAATATAGTTATAGCTAGGTCTATAGTGAAATTGAACGTTCCATTAATAGATGTCTTTGTGTTCATTTATAAATTTTCGATTGTCATGTTTAAGTGTTTATGAAATGCAGTATGTATCAACTGTCTTATTTTGCTAGAATCTTATAGGCCTGTTTATTTATTTTATTTCAATACTTTTTTGAAGTAGGAAGTTTTAGTCAGAGTTACTACACACATCCTGGATACATTTACACGACTGTACCTAAAATGTATGATAGTATAAGGCTGTAAACGAAAAGATGAAATGATTATATGTTTTAAACTGGAGTAACCACGTATATATTACTGCAGATAAGCTTATCATTTAATAACGTAATGTCAGATATAGAATAGTGATAAGATATTTACAATATATTCCCCATGATGTATCAAACATGTATTCAGTTTGGTTTCTTGATGAATGCGTATTTCTTTTGAAAATACCATCCCCTTACCCCGCAGCTTAAATAACCTTTAAACTTAAAATCAGTAAGTTCGCAATGAGGACATTAGCTACATGTATTTGACAAATATTTTTACAAAGTTGTTGTCAGGTTTTGTTGTCGGAACCAAACAGCGCGTTTCATGGAATAATAAATACCATCTTTATTTAAAGATGTTAACACATGAAGATATAGTTTGGTAAAAATCAAATAACATATATTACTTCTAAACAATATATATAAGCACACACAAACACACACACGCACGCACGGACGGACGGGAGGAAAACAACATCATAAAACAATAACAACTATTCCATTTGTCAATTAAGATTTGGTCATATAACGAACCTAATTTGATTGTTTTGACTAACGTTCCTTTTAGATATTAAACAGAGTATTATTTATACATTTACATAAACATTTATTCTTTTACGTATAATCTAACCAATAAACATGAAAAGAGAATGGATGTCATATAGAAGTTCAAAGATTTATAACGTGCTTATGAACATATCTGCAGATGTTCTATAAATTGTAAAATTCATCCAAAATAAGGTAGAATATCAATATGTCTCCTTATCTGATAGTTATCATAAACATTTTATTTATACATTAAATTCAATAAAACAAATTGTTCAAGATGAAATTTGTGTTTCTGAAACATATGTATGATATATCATGTTCACATTATTTCTTTTTATATATCTCTTACGTGAATTTAAATAAAATTTGTATATTTCATGAAAGAATAATTTTTTAATCGTAATTTTGTTTATAATTTGAACGTAGAACTGTCATGTGTTATGTGCGTAAGCTTGTCATAATATACTCAAACCTGACTTTTCAATTTTGAACTTATTGTACAATCATCAAGGATACACATTACACTATTTTAAAATTAAACATGTATTGACTAATGTTTAAAAATCGTTAGGCTTGAGATCAGTTGTCATTAATAGCGAACGTGCCATGCAAAAGTGATACAAAATATAAAGGAATTCTTAATGAATATTGTAAAATAGATTCCTCATAATAAGAAAGATTTATGCCTTTATTGCAATAGTTTAAGGGATTTTAATCAAATATATTTTTCAGGATGTGCATAAAGATAATTGCATTGTTTTCTTTCACAAAGCATGATTAACGTGATAACCAAACATATGTTATGTTATGTATACACAATCTCGGATCCCTGTGGAGTAGAGTACAATTTATCATAGGGAACAGCTTGGGGTTTTAAACATTGGTATTATTATGGGCAGAGCTTCTAAAGGGTTTCAATGTTGGGAAAAGCTTGAGGTTTTAACATTCTTAAGATATAAACAATAAAAAGAGCGAGTTTTAATATTAGTATCAAATTGAAATCTAGAAACTGCCCTAATTACATTTAAGGGTCAATGCACAAAAAACACACATATCCATTTTGATGTTATCATTTTATTTTCATGTACTTTTTCATACTCAATGAGAATGAAATAGTTTGACAACTAAAAAATATGCTATCAGTGCAATTATCTGACATTTTTCGAATATGAAATAAGTTTCAATATATGTTTTGTTTTTAATTTCTTGCAAATCCTTCAACAAAATGTTTAAGAAATGTTCGTTTATGGCATGCATTCAGTTCTGTACCATGTTTGCGCCTTACACCAGGCAGGTTTGGTTTGGACGTAATATTCATAACCATGCCAGTCTACGGCTTTGTAATAGAGATAAGCAACTTTTTTGCACCACCAGCCACCTCTACATGCTGCGTACATGTCACTCTTGAATTCCTTGTCACATTGACTTCTTGTTACGCCGAATGTCCTCCCCTGTAAAATAAGATACAAATGCTTAAAATTTACTAAATGTTAATAAACGAGTTGTTTAAATATGTTTTATACTTATGGTAGCATGATTCTAGATTTGTTGAAATTAAAAAGCTAATGTTGTTCTAACGCGTAAAAATGATGGCATGTGTAATATAATTTATCCTTCTTAACCCTTTCGCTGCCAGAGGGTTATTGTTTTATTGTTCACCTATTTGCCAGAGGATTTTCTAAGAAATTACTATATTATTAATTAATATAATTATTATCATTTGTTATTAGTATTTATAATAATTATATATGTTTCCAAATATGTTAGTGTAATAATAATTATTGTCGATGGTATAATTTTCTTTATATTTATTATTATTTTTATTATTATTATTATTATTATTATTATTAATTTATTATTAAATACTATTATTATTATTATAGAAACGGCTAAAGCCGTCCATATGGCAAATACGCCCGAAAATAACATGCCTATGGCAGTGAAAGGGCTAATATAGTTTTAGGCGCTTACGAGCCACATAAGTTACATAGAGCTTGTCAAAATATAAAGAAGACCATCTTACTCTTTTAGGGACTGGGTAGAAATTTTGGTGATAATTATGCATATCTTAAAAAAGTATCATCTGGACGTGAATAGTAAGTGATACATTTTTTAAACTTTTGTTTGTAATGGTTTTAACTTTTCACTCATCTTGAAGCGTGACGCTTTGGACTTTTTGTTTCTTTGTTTTGCAACGTTCAATTGCATTTTTATATGAGAAAACTGAATACAATGTAATGTGATAGTCATTTGTATAAACTAACACGAACTATCTATAGACTGCTTTAACGCACTCCGCAATTAAAACAAATACAAAGATGTTTGCAGGTATGTATCTCTTTTTATTGTATACTTAAAAATGAAATATTGAGAAATACTGATGAAATAAAATACGTATTTCATTTTCGGTATTTTCACTTTAAAAAAATATTTTTCACTGCAGTGAAACATATTTTCCGTATTTTCACTGTTGTTTAGTCTGACCACTTTCTTCTAAATTCAGCCTGTATACACTAAATATAAGGGAAAATCTTCCAAAATGTTATTTCAAAAAAGAGAAACATGTAAATAACATACAGAAAATTCAATTTTTATTTTGCTATAGATATAGGTTTATTTTTATCCTGTGATATAAAAATTATCACCACGCATGAAATAATTATTTTCATACCACTCGATGAAAATTAATCTTGTATTTATAGGAAATAAACACTTGAATATCCTATATTTATTTCACTTTCTCTTTACTTGTTTTTAAATCAAGTTAAATTGGTATTAGGAACCGGTTATGCTTGCAACTATAACTTGTAAATGTTTAAATGTGAATTATAGGTAATATGTTAATGATAACATGAATATTTTTTTTATTAGAAACATTAAAAATTTGATTTTTTACACTGTGAATATATAAATATTATATTGCTTCCTAAAATACATCATAAAGACAAACAGAGAAAGAAAGAAAATGTACAGGTCTGATAAAAAAAATGAAACAAAAACTTACACATGAGTAGCAAACATCATGCTTATCACAAGAAGATCTGAATCTGCTCTTGTAAGGAACAATAGACCACGCGCTGCAACCATCGGTGTCCGGGGCATCACCGCAATCATACGCCCCATACGCCAGAGATACGCCTAGCAACATTGTCCATATTGCTATCGCAAGCATTTTTGGTGAAACCTTGGTAAAAATTAAAATGTTTGATTTTATGTTTTATTAAAAAAAAAACTTTTATGCATCACACATAATTCACATTCGATAATTACAAAAAGAAACTTACAAAAGTGAAGTAAATTGTTTTTGATATTTCACTTTACTATAATGTTGTTAAAAAAGGAGTTAAATCTAAAAAATGCAATAATATTAACGTTTCTTTATATGCTCTTTAAATATGTTATACTTTTCTGATAGATCAATAATTTTTCCTTAAATTCCTATTCCCGCATTTTTTGAAATCTAGATAATAATAATACGAAAGACCGGTGGTGACTTCTGACTTCAGAGTTCAGAGTTCGGACTTCAGACTTCAGACTTCATACATAATGCTTTATACATATAGCATTAAAGGTGTTCTGAACTCCGAAGTCTGAACTCTGAAATCTGAACTCCGAAGTCTGAACTCTGAACTCCGAAGTCTGAAGTCTGAAATCTGAACTCCGAAGTCTGAAATCTGAAGTCTGAACTCTGAAGTCTGAACTCTGAAGTATGAACTCTGAAGTTTGAAGTCTGAAGTCTGAAGTATGAAGTCTGAAGTATGAAGTCTGAAGTCTGAACTCTGAAGGGATTACATGAATCACGTGATCTGACGTCATACTATTGTCGCGCCTTTTTGACGAGTAAACAGCCGGAAAAAAAT